GGCAATTGGGGTTAAGTGACTTGCCCAGGGTCACACAGCTAGTAACTGTTATGCGTCTGAGGCTGGATTTGAACTCAGGTCGTCCTGAATCCAGGGCCGGTGCGCTATCCACTGTGCCACCTAGTTGCCCCCTGGAGTCTTGATTATAATATACATGACAAATGTGCATTTAGCCTTTGCTAGAAAACCTATCAGTCCATTCCATTGTTAGGAAGTACATGAAGACTAGATTTGCCTCTTTGTAACTTCTGCCCTTGATTTCATTTTCATCCTTTGGGATGAAGCAGGATAATAAGTAAAAATATTCTTTTGTGGGGTAGCCTTTTAAATACCTGAAGATAGCTATCATTTAGTCTCCAAGTCTTCTCTTCTTCAGTTTAAATATCCCCAGTTTGACTTCTTGTCAATATGATTGGCTGAATGAGAGGTAGATTGCCCAGCTCCCACACACTTATTTCAGCAAAATTCTGAAGTTTGCACAGAGAGAATAATGATCAGGTATTCAAATAGGAAACTGCAGTAAGTGACTCCTTCCAGCCCAGAGCTTCACAAGAGTCATCCAGAAGTGTATGGGCAGCAGGAGAGAATACCTGTCCAGACAACTAGTGTCAGCACAGGCTGGTGGCCACCTAGCATGACCAGAGGTAAGACTCATGTGGCCTATAGGGCTTTGTGACTGGAACCAGCAAGAACAGAGAGCTCCCATGAGAAAGCTTCAGGAGAGTCAGAAAGTCTCATAATGGTTAAAAGGCCACAGAGTATGGACCTTGAAAGCCCTGGAAAGTGACAGTGAGCTGGGACCATCTGGACCCAGAAAGTGCACGGTGCTGTAGTGATCTACAGACTAGGTTGCCAGTACGATGTTAAGTGTTCAGGCTGGGACACCTGAGGTGGCCAGGGCCTCTGAAAGCTCTAACACTCTGAACCCAAATGCCAGAGAAGACCCTGGAAATCTAGCAGTCTGAACTTCAAAGATCTAGGGGAGCCGTTAATAACCCAGGGCAGTGGAGGTCAATGAAGAAACCCAGGGGGAATGAAAGCATGACCAAACTGGGCTGAACCACTAGGGTAAGCCTGACCCTGGCACAAAGCTGTAATTCAGGAACTAAAACTAGAGAACTAGAGCTGGCTAAATCAAAATGTTGACCAGTATTAAAAATTATTTCAAATCTACATGTTCCTCCAAAAGACACGGTAACTTTATAAAAACTGGCACGCAGACTCAAAGGATAAAATAGATTTTCAAAATAGCCTGTAGGAATACCTAGAAGAAATCAAATAAGAAATAAAAAATTTAGTAAATTCTGTAGAAAAAAGAATTGGTAGGAAAATAAGTAGTAACTTATGTTAGGCTCCCCTGGATCTTTGAAGTTTCTGCTCTTGGGCTTTCAAAGATTCAGCTCTGGGCTTTTAAACCATGATGGGATGTGATAGGCCTTAACCAAGAAATAGACTTTTGGAAAATTAAAACAGATAAAAAATTAATGTCTCTACAAGACAACAAGAAATCCTTATAATAGATCAAAATCAAAAATTGAAAAAACAATAAATGAAAATGTAAGTTGTCTGATATAAAAAATAACTGACCTGGAAAACAAATCAAGGAGAAATAATTTAAGAATCATTGGACTTTCTGAATACCATAATTAAAAAAAACTCCCCCAAACTGGATGCTGTATTTCAAGGAATCATTAATAGAAACTGCTTGGCTCTTTTAGAATCAGAAGGCAAAGTAAATATAAAAGGAACCCATTGATCGATCATGTCCTAAAAGGAATCCCAAAAGGAAAAATTCCAAGAATATCATAGCCAAAATCCAGAGCTCCTATGACGAAGAAAAAATACTCTAAGCATCTAGAAAGAAGGCCTGTCATTTTTAAGGAAGCACAGTCAGGATCACACAAGATCAGTGATCTTCTCACTTAACAGTGAGAAGAGATCTTGGAATACAACATTGCAAAAGGGAGAGGCTATATTATAGCCAAGAGT